TATATATGTAAATATTCTATTTTGAGATTTGAGTTGCCTTTGTGGCCAGATTTTATAAGTTAAGTTGTTTTGTAACCTTGCATTTGCATTGAGTTATTCTGTTGGGTTAGGTTTCTGCTGAGTTAAGAAAGACAGGCCAAGGGTTCGCTTGGGGCCAGAAATGGTCTCCGGGTGCCGGTCCCGCCCAGGGTGTAGGCTCGGGGCGTGACAGTAGTATCCCCTTCGTTTCCAAGTCCTTCATCAAAAAATGATCAGGAAAAATTCAATAGAAACCAAATTCTGAGTAGCGGTAGGAACATGTAGAATATGATCAAGTTTAAGATTTTTATCAGAAGCACTGATGAAACTTTTACCTATGTGAGATATGGGTAATTTAGAATCATTACCTAGAGATAAGATGATGCGTGGTACCACTATCCATCAACCAATTCTGTGTAGGTGAGGTTTGGGTGCTGGCCAAATGTGAGGCAGGGCGGCTGGATATTCTGGTTCCATTAGAAGTTTTTGGTGAGGGACAGACTCGTGCAATGCGCCCTTTGCCTTCATAGTTGTGACATGTCTGAAGGTATTGGATTAGAGGGCTGGTGGGAAGCACGATTTTGAGTTGACTGAGAGAATCCTTGATTATGATAGCGTCCACGACCTCGATTACCTCTTCCTACTCTCCCACGACCACGATGAGGAGTGAATGAACTCTGGGTAAACTGTGTCATGGGTGCAATAACAGTAAGAGCTTCATCTCGTTTTAATTGACGTTCTTCATTCAACAACATTCCATATAAAGCGTCAAAAGAAATCTCCTCTTGACGTGATTCAAGTGATCTTGTGAAAGGACGATAAGTTGGTCCTAATCCAGCAAGAACAAATTCGACCAAATCATCATTGGAAATTGGGTGCTTCAAGGCAGCCAACCTGTCCGAAATTCCCTTCGCCTTTATTATATATGACTCAATACTTGCATTCTCTCTCTGTAAATTATGCAACTGAGATTTTAACTCACGAATTTATGGCTTTGAACCGGAAGTATAAGCAGTCACAAGTTTAGTCCACGCTTTTCGAGCAGTTTCAGCACCAACTAGTTGAGGTAATATACCTTCAGAGACTGAAGCAACGATCCAACTTAGGACAAGTTGATCTTCTCTCACCCAAGAATTATAGGTAGGGTTGGGTTCATTATTATCCAGAAGCCGTTCCGGAATTACCTCATTACCTTCAATATGATAATCAAGACCACAACCCCTAACCATAGGGAGAAATTGTGTCTTCCACAACAAAAAAATGGAGGATGTAAGTTTAACAGGCAGTTGATGGGCAAGGTTGGGAGAAGGAAAAGCAGTAACGAAGGAATTATGTGTAGTGGATGATGTTCCAGACGTAGTAGAAGTAGAGTCGCCTGCCATTGCGTTGTGTTTTTTTTTTTTTTTTGGTTGTTTAAACCTCTTAGGGCTTTGATACCATGTAAAACCTTTTCAATAATTCTATATGTGATGTACATGAGTGAATATATATAGAGTCTAACTTAAGAGTCCTATAGTTACACAAGTACAAGAACAAAACCAACACAAACTAAGAGATAAGGGACTAATCCTAGTTGGACTACAAACGCTGCATCATCTGTCTTCACAAGTATGCAAGAGATTTGATACCGAATGCGAAGTGACGAGAAATGTTAGACACAGAAATCTTGTTTCAGTGATTACTACATGTTCTAGTGACTATATAAGAGCCTTTGTTCTGCAATTTATGTCCAATGGAAGTCTTCAGAATTGGCTGTACAAAGAAGATCGCCACTTGAACCTTCATCAAAGAGTCACTGTAATGCTTGATGTAGCTATGGCAGTTGAATATCTACATCATGGTCATGTCACTCCAATAGTTCATTGCGACCTAAAGCCAACCAACATACTTTTGGATGAAGATATGGTGGCTCATGTTGGTGATTTAGGCATCTCTAAAATTTTAGCCATAAGCAAGTCCATGGCTTATACCGAGACATTGGGCGCTCTTGGATACATTGCACCAGGTATAAAAAATCTACTCTCATTGATTTTCTCTTATCATAATTACTAGTATTTGGGCACGCGCATTGCGCGTATATCCCTTACCACAGTGAGAATAAGTATTTTTCAAAATTGCATCAATATGATAAATATATTAAAAAATCAATGACATCCAATATCTAAAATGTCCAACTTTGAAGATTCTTAGTTAGTACTAAATTGATTTTAATTTGAATTTATGAGTTAAAATTTGATATGAATTTGTCAAATTTTAATAGTTTTTATATAGATATTATGTTTTGATAAAAAAAAAATTAAATTAATTAAATCCATAGATTACAAGCTTAATATGCTCATTTCATCAATTAATCGTTGTCCTACCTCCAAAACCAATATTACATTTCTGTACGAACTTCATTTGATGTGATTCAACGCAATTATAATATTTTTTTAGTTAGAAAAGGAATTCAACATTTCATTTATATTTTGTCGAACTGTATTGTTAAAATTTTACTTGAGAAACAAAAAGACATGTATTGTTTTATGTTGTCAAAAAAAAAAAAAAAAAAAAAAAGACATGATAAAAAATAATATTACAACATGTGAGTGATAAGTAATATAAATTCTGAAGGAGAAAGGGAGGGATAAACTATGGCTCAAATAACTAAAATAAATCAACCAAAATTAAAGCAAAGAAAGTTAATATAATTTCGTGAGAAAAATAACCAAAATATGATATTGTATTCATTCCTTTGTTTCTTAACATGGGTTGTTATCCTCCCTTCTTTCTTTTTGGATGAAAGCTCCATTAAAATAATTAAACTCAGACAAAGAAAGTGAAGCCAAATAGGCAATGAAGATCAAATCACTCAACATGCCATAGCTCATAAATACATTTTTTACTTTTATTGGGTTATGACGGTTAATATCAAAATTCAATACTTAATTAGCTTTACACACAAATAAATCACATGAATCTGCACATGAAAATTCAATAAATTTGACCTACTATTGACAAAATAAAATAAAATAAAAAAGAAAAACCAAACAAAGAATATTGTGCTAACAAAAAAATTATGTTAGAAGGAAATGTCACTTACCCCGGCACAACTCAAAGTACAGTTCTATGCGATTTAGACAGAAGCATCTCATCAATTGATTTTCCTTGTAACAAAAAAATCATCTCATAAGCTATTGACACAAAATTAAATTTTTTATTTTATATCAGAGATCAAAATCTTAAACATCAATCAAACAA